GTGAGCAGTAAATTAGGGTGTTGCTGGAAGCAGCCCTGGGGGAGGGTTCCTCCTGGGGGGGCTGTTCTGGGGCTCGGGGGGGGCTGTGTCTCCACGCTGACCCTGCTGCTGTCAAGGGCAGGTCACTACTGTCCCTTAGCCCTTGGTGTCCCCAGGGGCAGGAGTTTCCAGGGTCCTGTTTGCATAGGCAAGGAATGCAAACGTTTACCCTGGGCTGTCTCCAAGGAAAACATCCCTGGTGAGGTGTCAATTCCCCGAAATCCCCCAACAAAACCATTTGGTGGGAGAATTAACTGGCTGGGAAACTGCGGTTTGGGATGGGGGCTGGCCTGGAATGCAGGACAGGATGGGGTGGCAGTGGGTAAGCCCTGGGGGCACCAGGAGTGCCAGGAGGAGGTTTGGCTTTACAAGAAAGCAGGGCCAGCTTTGCAACGATGGTGTCAGCGAGCCGGCTGCTGGAGATGCCACCAGGGAAGGGGAGTGTGGATGTGGGTTAAGAGGAGGCTGGGAGCAATCTCCCAGTCCATGTTTTTCACCAGCAGGAACACCGTGTCCTTGGAAAGGCTGATATTGTCTGGCTCCAAACCAGCCTCAGCTGGTGTGGGAGGGCTGGAAGTCGAGTGCATCCTTCAGGCATCTAGGGAACCTGTGGAGCAGGGCAGCTGTGGGTCCCTCTGTTACTGGCAGCATTTCCCAAAGCTTTAAACCTGCACTGCTAATGGAGAACTGCCTAAGCCCTACCCTGGCATGGGGTGTGGAGTGTTTCCCCAGGTTCAGGCAATGCCCCAAGATGCCTGGAGACTGCCCAGAGCCCATCACAAGGTGCCAACAGCCAGGCTGGCCACAACGATGCTCCAGTTGACCATCATGGATGTGGGGGAGTGAGGAGGCTCCTTGCCAAAAACAGGAAACCTGTAGGAGCCACTGTTAGAGGTTTGACCTTCCCCAGCCACTTCCCAGGCTCTGGGGAGATTTGGGGCCACAGGGCCATGGGGCTGCAGCTCCTAGCCAACATGCTGCTTGCGCCTCTCTGCATCCTGCAGCCCACAGGGACCAGTGTGAGCCTGGCACAGTGCCCTGCTCTCCAGCCAGCTCGCACTGCTGAGTCTGACCAGGGCTTGAGCCACCTCCTGGGACAGAGCTGGGACAGACCTGAGGAGCTGCTCGGGGCTGTGCTCTCTGCTCCACTATCTCCCACCTTGGGAGCAGCCAACCACTTCTAATTATGTCCCCTAATTGCCTGCACAGTTAGTTGGTGGCTTTCTCCTGGTCAATAAGGACTTGGGGGCCAGAGGACAGTGTGGTTTATGCAGTGGTGGCACCGTGTGGTTGTGTCCTGATCCCTGCCATGCACAGGGAAAGGCTGAGCTACTTGTGAACTGAGTTTTCCTGAAATCAAAATAAAAATAAGAGACCTGTTTCTCCAAGTCCCCTCTCCTTGGGTCCCGGTGCCAAATCAGCCTTGGTGGAGGTGGGGGATGGAGGAGTAGTTAATGAGCCACAGCTGATGGACCCCCTCTCTGTCACTGAGCTTCCGCAGCAGCCTGGGTGTGTCACCCAGTGTCCCCACCTTGCCATGCTGGAGGCTGCCTGGCCTAGGGTGCTGGGGGCTCCAGCAACTACCCTGCAGGACTGGGGTCCCCCACCCCCAATGGCAGGCATGCTGAGCGGGCTGACCCTCGCACGAACCTCCTTCCCTGGTTGTTTTTCCACCAGAGCTGGGCAGCAGCCAGCCCCCGCCTGCTGCAGATGTTTGGCAGGAGTTCGGGGCGGGAGGCCAGGAGCTTCCAGCCCCGTGGCTGCCATGCTGCTGCTGCCACCAGCCTCCCTGGCTGTCCCTGAGCTGCGGGCCAGGGGCTGCAGAGACCTTGTGCCAGGCTGCAGGGCCACAGCTGAGCACAGAGAGTGAAAGCAGGGTTGGGGACCGTGTACTGCTGCTGGCTGGCTGAACTTGTCCCAGAACTGACCAAGCAGTTTCTGCCATGTAGAGTAACAGGGATAGTGCCAGCAGTGTGCCAGGGTGGTGGTGAGGAGCTTAAGCAGCAGTCCCAGAGCTGACTGAGGAATTTCTTCCATGTAGAGCGACAGGCCAGCAGTGTGCCAGGACAGCAGCAAGGCGCTTGGGCAGCGTCAGGCAGCACCACCCTGTTAGCAGCAGAGCAGCTTCCCTCTGGCAGCCTGGCCTGGCATCAGTCCCAGGGCAGCCTCTGAACTTTTGTTCTAGGTGTGCAATGGGAGGCAAAGGCAGAACAAGCTCTGCCAGGTGAGAGGCCCCAGCTCTTTGGGGCACCAGGCCTCCCCACGCTGCTGGCCAGCAGCTCATCCAGCCCTCGCCTCCCTGCCCCAGCCCATGTGCTCCCTGTTCCATGGCAGCCTTCCCACTGGGCATGGTGCCCAGCACCCTTTGGAGCACAGACCCCCCCTTCCCGAGTGCCCTCACAGCCTCCAGGCTATGGCCTGATTGCTGCTCCCTCCACCATTGCCATCCCTTCCTCTTCCAGGGTAAGATTTGTCCCCCTGCAGAAATGCCACTGACTCCCCCACTTTCCCACCGCAAAGGGGGACTGCCCAAAGGCAAGGTGAGAGCCAAAATCCCCCATCCCCTGCTCCCCGCCGGGGTAGCCCCAATCTCATCCCCCAGCAGCCGCCCCCATGGCCAGCAGCCAGCTCCTGCCACACTCCAGCACCTCCAGGAAAGCATCCCAGTGGATGCTGAATCACCTCAGCGCCTGCATCGTGCCTGCTTGCCATAGTGTCTGCTCCTCAAAAGGCTGGAAATGCCTTTCTTCCTTGGCAAAACACCAGACAAACACTGCCTCTGAGCTCCAGCACTGTTCAGGCGCTGCAGCCAGGGCTGCGGGAGGATTTGCTTATCTTAGTCCATCCTGGAGGAGGAATTTCCAACTCAACTCTGTTGGAAATTCAGTCCATATCTGTTCTCCCCATCTTTACTTTAAAAATGTCCTGGCTTCTCCCTGCTTTTCCCCCTAGCTGCCATTTCACTCCGTGTTTGTTGTTGTTGTTACAAGCAAATCCCTCTTTCCAAGGCCTTTCCTGGAAATGTTTGCCACAGACTTGAAACTTTCCAGAAAACTCACGCCATGAAAGGAAACCTCTCACATCCCTGGGCTGCTCCAAGGGGCACACAGAGGTGGGAGCAGCCACCGGGCATGGTTGCATGGACGGGGAGGAAGGTGTTCCATGCTTTCCCTCGTGTTTTGTTCCAAACCAGGCTTTCTTCTCAAACCATTCCAATGTTTGTGGCTTCTTCCCTGTTCCTCTCACAGCGAAGCTGCTCAGCTCCCATTCCTGGTGCCAGATGCCGCTGGCCATCCCCTCAGTGTCCCCAGGGAAGCAATGCTGGGGTGGGGCACGGGAGGGGAAAGCAGAGCTGAGGCTGTTCCCACCCTGCACATCTGTAATGTCTTCCAGCTGCTGCTGCACCGTGCCAGCACGGGAAGGAGAGAGGAGGAACAACAGGAAAACAACTCTGGTTATTTGCCTCAAATTCTGCAACTTGAGAGGGAGAGTCAACAGCTTGAAACAGAAATTTGTTTCTGGGCTGGAAAAGGAATACGCATCCCCTTCCTCCCAGCACAACCACAGCCTGTGGCTACAGCGCAGGCATTTCTGCTCACCAGGGTCTGCATCCCTGTGCTGGGCTCCCTTCCCGGGGTGGGAGGTGTTTGCCCAAGGTCCTGCTTCCCCAGGAATCGCCGGCCCCTCTGACCCCAACCCAAATCAGATGCCGGTTGCCGTGGATCAAGCCACACAGGACGAGACAGGATTTGAACACTGCAGGGCTGGTTGCTCTTTCCAGCAGACAAAATGGGATTTAAACAATTCCCACCAGCATCACCATAGCGTTTTCCCGCATCCCTGACTCATCCTGTTACTTGAGACCTTTCCTGCCGTGAGTCACCAGGACACCGTTTCAGCCCCAGCACTGCTCCTGCCCCGCTGACCCCGGCACGCGGCTGGTGTGGGGGAAGCGATGCCGGTCACCCGAGTGGGAGGAAACCAGCCATCACCACTGTCAGAAAGCCCTGAGGGATCCTTCCTGCTGTCTGACAACCATTGCCCAATTAAGGTTTGCCCTCCCAGAGCATGGGGCTGGGCTGGCAGGCTCCAAGGCCCGATGGAACCCCAGCACCTCGAGCCAAAACAGTGCAGGAGGTCTCTGTGCAGGAGCACAGACAGGGCTTCAGGAGAGGCTGCAAAGTATCTCAGATCCTGCGCACGGGCACCCAGACACCGCCCGCAGTGTGGACAGAGCCGCATGACATGCTCACATGTAGGGTAAAGTCCATTTATTTCATAACAAAAAGCAATGCAAGAGCTTACATGGTCCTCTGCCACTGACTAGGCACAAACCCGCTCTTCCTGCTTTACCTGCCCAGGCGAGAGGTGCACAGACCCCCCAGTGGGGCTGGTGTGCTGGGTGAATGGTGGGGGCTCTCGCTGTCAGGAGCAGGGAGCGCAGCCAGCGTGCAGGCAGACAGGCTGGCAGAAGTTGCACACACTTCTCTGCCACACAAGACCCAGAGGAACCAAGAGCCACATAAGATTTCCCTATGATTTCAGCAGATAATGGATAGAGGAGAAGCCAGTGCCAGCTGCACATCTCCTGTGCCGCCAGGTTAGGCTCTGTCACTGATGCTTTCAGCCAAGTCTTCAAACTCACAACCAGAAGCCACATCCATCTTGCTTTGACCCTTTTTTCCAAACACCCTGAAAGCTGGGACTCCAAAGAAGAAATAATTTTGCCAGGCATTTCCACTTCTTGCTGCTTGCCTGGGATGGGATCACCAGTGAAGGCAAGCCTAGTCTTCCTGTTTCACAGGAGCAAGTTGTTTCCAGCTGGACATGTCCACAAAGTCACACTGCTGCCTGTGCTGCCACCTCCCCCATGGTCCCCGTGAGATCGGTGGGCAACAGGAGGCAGTGGGTTTGCCCAGCGAGAGCCTGGTGCCAGCACAGGGGCAGGCCCTGGCTCTTGCCTGTCCCTCCAGCTCTCAGGGTGCCCCATCAGGCTCTGCGGGGTCCCTGGCACAGGGTCCCATGGCTGCAGCCCCCTGCCCAGCAGGCCGGCCGTGCCCGGTGCCCACAGCTCACACGACGCCGTTGCGCGTGGGGTGAGTTCGCACGCGGTAGATGATGACGGCGGTGGCCGGGCAGAGCACCAGGGCCGTCATGACCAGGATGGTGGCCAGGATGATTAAGACGATGACCCAGACGTCCAGGATGTGCTTGGGAAGGGCGGCGGCAGCACCTGTGAGGTCGGGGAGGCCCATCCTGCAAGAGAGAGGCAGAGGGGTGATGGGGCAGCCCCCGCCATCCCTCCCACAGCCAGAACGCCCTGAGCAACCTGCTGCTTTCTCGGGGGACACCCCTGTGGGCAGGTCCAGCTTTACCTTGGGCTCCTCCGAGAGCTTTTGGTAAAGGCTCCTTCGATTAGCCCCAGGATTTACAGCGTGCTCTGAAAGCACTGGATGAAAGCCTAGGGAAAAACTTCCCTATTAATTGCTACCGCTGATAAAGGAGCTGATAAAGCAAAGCCACAACAGGGCATCCCACTGGTCACTCATCAGTAGGTCATCGCGTGGGGGAATGGTGGGGTCAGGTTAGCCAGAGCCCCCCTCTCCTGGGGAGCCTCCTGTGTGTGTCCCCCCCACCTGTACCCCGTGCTGAGCCACGAAGTTAACAGGTCTGTGGGGCGGAGGGGCCAGAGAGCAGGGACCCTCTTCCACGGGGACCGTGGCTGCGCCCCCGTCCCGCTCCGGCACCCCGAGGGTGGGGGGGACACGATGCCGTGGGAAAGAGGGGTCATCTGCCTGTGCCCTGCCCGTCCTGCCTGCCTCCGGCATGCCCTGCCGGTGCCCTGCCTATCCCACCTGCCCTGCATGTCCTGCCCATCCTGCCTGCCCGCATCCCCTTACCTGCGGCGCTGCCCGGCTCCGACTCGGGCTCCGGCTCCGGCGAGAAGCGACGGCAGCGGCGGATCCCGTCGAGGGAGGAAGACTCCGCCTGGCCCCGCCCGGCCCGCGCGAGGCGGCAGGGAAGGGGAAAGAAAGAAGGAAGGGGAAGGGAGGGCAGGGAAGGCAGGACTTCTTTTTTTTTTCTCACCAGGCTAAAGCGAGGTCACATTCCATCTCATCCCAGCCAGGACGGGGCCCCACCGGGGGAGACTATCTGGAGCCGAACCCGAAGGTGTCAGGTCGCACCGTGGGAACATTTCACTTCTTAGCCCTTAACAAAGGGTTCTCCCCTGCCCCGTCCTGCTCCTGCCCCAGCAGGGCTCACAGGTCACACGTGCCCCCGAGGCCCGGGGCAGGAGGGAAAAGCAGAACCACCCAGAGCCTCCATATCCACCCGCAGCGAGGTGCCCGCGCTCCCCAGGGATCCGGGCAGGGTGATTTACAGAGACAGGGAACAGCGTTTCCACTGCCCACTGGAACATTCCGCTCCATTGGTGATGCCGAATGGCGAAAGCAGAGGTGGGATGCTCTGATTTTCCTGCTGGGACACCAGCTCAGTGTCACACACAGTGGGACCCACGCACTGCATCCTCCCTTCACTCCTGCTTTTTCCCAGGGAAACCTGGCAGTGGAAACCCCTGCCCACATGCTCTCAGAGCCCCCTGGCCTCCAGGCACCTTCCCGGGCCTACAGCACAGGCAGGGATCCTCCTCCCCGCCTTTGCAGCACTGCTCCCCTCCGGCTGCTGCTGTCGGATAAAGAGCGCGTGGGGTTTTTATCTCAAGCCGCAGAAGATCCTCATGGACAGGGTTTTCCTCTGGAGCTGCCGGTGGCGGGCAGAGGGCAGGGACTGACTCCAGGCTGTGCAGGGATGGGCACAGAGGTGGGAACAAGGGATCCACGCCACAGTCCGGGCTGTGGCTGGTGCTTGGTCGGGGTATCCAAGAGCAAACTGGGGGTGGTTTGCTAATGGAAGCTCTGCCCGCGCAGCACAGCATCCACAGAACTCATGCTTTCCCACTGATCCCACGACATGGGAATGCTTGTTCTTGTCAGGACACCGTCTTAGCGGCCATGAGACTGAAGAGAAAACACCTTTGGGGTGTGGAATATTCGGCACCGTGTCCAGCTCTGGGGCCCCCAGCACAGGAAGGATGTGGAGCCTCTGGAGCGAGTCCAGAGGCGGCCGCAAAGATGCTCCAGGGGCTGGAGCCCCTCCGCCCTGGAGACGGGCTGGGAGAGCCGAGGGGGTTCACCCGGAGAACAGAGGGCTGTGGAAAGCCCTCAGAGCCCCTCCCAGTACCTAAAGGGGCCCCGAGAGAATTGGAGAGGGACTGTGGACAAGGGATGGAGGGACGGCAAAAGGGGGAAGGGCTTCTCGCTGGCAGAGGGCAGGGTTGGATGGGATACGGGAGGGAATTCTTGGCTGTGAGGGAGAAGGGCGGGCACCGCCCGGGCCCGCGGACAGGGAGGCGTGCTGACGTCACGCGGTGCCGCGCTGACGTCACGCGGCGGCGGAGCCCGCCCGCTCCCAAGATGGCGTCCCTGCTGCAGTCGGAGCGCGTGCTGTACCTGGTGCGCGGCGAGAAGGAGCTGCGGGCGCCGCTGCCGCAGCTGTACTTCTGCCGCTACTGCAGCGAGCTCCGGTCGCTGGAGTGCGTCTCGCACGAGGTAACGGCGGCCCGGCCGCGCCGCGCCCGCACACCGGGCGGCACCGGGCGGGACGGTGCGCGCAGAGCGGGCACCGATTGGGTGACTCTCCTGCCGCTCACTCTCGTTTTGCCTTTCCATTAGTCGGCGGTGTTTCGGAGGGGGTGGGCGCTGCGCTGCGCGGGGCTCGGCGATTGGCCGTCGGTGGTGGGTGGGGCGGTGCTTCGCTTTAGATTGGCTGTACCGCCTGTCCGTCGGCGGAGCTCGGGCTGTGATTGGCCGAGGCGAGCGCACAGGGGCGGCTCCCCCTCGTCAGAAAGGTGTTTCCCCCTCAGCCCCGGTCAGGGGGAGCGGGGACCCCCAAAACCACTATGGGGCCAGGCTGGGGCAAAGGGGACCTCCCTGCCCCTCTGTGGGGCCCGGCCGGGAGGGTCAAAACCCCTCTCCCACACACATCCCCATCGGGCCCGGCCGGGGAGGAGCAGAGGCCCCCACCCCGACCCTCCTCATTATTTTACAGTGTGATTTCCGCTGTGGGGGCTTTGTGGCTTCACAAACCGTCACAGTCAAACCGGTAGAACTGATTTTGTGGAAGCCTGGTTGAACTAAGAAGCTGTGATAGATTTGGAGAGCCTTGAAAGAATGACTGTGCAGCCCTGATCTCAGAAGAGGAGTCTTTAAGGAAAGATTGAGGCCTCTGAGCAGTAGATTTGTCACCAGGCTGCATCCATGATGGATTTACTGGGGTGTGAGGGGTGTAGCCATTGTGCATGTCTGTGTTTAATAATCAGTTTGAATTCCTCTTCAAGAAGGGGCCCCCAGTCTTGCTGCTGTTGTTTTCATTGACAAAATTCGATGTGACAGTAGACAGATAAAAAATGTTCTGAATTGTGCATAAATCTGAGCAGTGCAACTGCAAGGACAGAATAAATTTAGATGCGAGTAGAAAATAACATGTTAAAACCTGTGGTTCAAGCTGAAGAATGAAATCCTGGTAGCTGCTAAAAGCTGACCTTTTGTCACTTACAAGGTGGAGTAATTAATCCATTCTGATTTAAGAAACCTTCTGATTCGTGTTGTTAAAGAACAAAATCAGGCTGAGACAGGCTAAGATTTTGAATACCTTAAAATGCCTCAAGCCTCCCCTGGCTGCACCTGTCCAGTGCCAGACACGACTCCCTGCTGGATCGTGTGGCAGTTGCCCTGTGCTGTCTGGACAGACGTGTGCCAGGTAGCACATGTGATGTGCCTGCCTTCTCCTTCAGGTGGACTCCCACTACTGCCCCAGCTGCCTGGAGAACATGCCTTCAGCTGAAGCCAAGCTGAAAAAGAATAGGTAAGGTCCCTTTGGCTTTTATTTTCATCAAGGCTCCCTGTTTTAAACAGCTCCTTCCTTAGTCAGCACCTGATGTGTCTGTCCGAAACTCTTCAAAAATTACATCGGTGTTTGTTTCCACCGAATCTGTTTTGGGGAATAAATCATTTCCATGATCTATCAGGTGCTGTTCATGGATTTTTTTTTTATTTTTTTGTGATGGCCTGTCTCACAACACAAAGAGTTTTTTTATCATCCCTCGGTGTTTCTCACCGTTGCCGTTCTTAAGTTGACTCTGAACCCCTCCTGTTCCCCCGATGGCTCTGGTGACCTTTTTTCCCTTGAGGGAACAGTCAGTTGGTTTAATGTTGATCTGGTTGTTGAGAGCTTTCCCCTCAGCCAGGGAACGTTCTCAGAGCACTGTGTGGTTGTCTGCAGGTGTGCCAACTGCTTCGACTGCCCCTGCTGCATGCACACCCTCTCCACCCGTGCCACGAGCATCCCTGCCCCGCTGCCTGACGACCCGGCCAAGACCACCATGAAGAAGGCCTATTACCTGGCCTGCGGGTTCTGCCGTTGGACTTCCCGGGATGTCGGGATGGCAGACAAGTCTGTAGGTAAGGGGCAGTCAGAGACAGAGAGCTGAGTTACAGCAGGAGCCCAGTTTGCGTTTTGAAGGTGAACAGGTAATCACATTAGCTCCTGGCTGTACTGTAGGTTTAGTATCTGACCAGGGTTGGAGCCACAGTTGGAAATTCACAGGAAAATGGTTTGTTGCTGAAGTCTCCTCTGAAGAGTTGAGCTGAGTTAGCGGGATGTGTGACCCACTTCCACGTTCTTGTTACTTGACTAGTGAGAGAACTGTCAAAAGAGGGGCTGTTTTAGTCAGTGTGTTCTCCCCCCAGCTGAGGTCTCGTTTGTGTGCTTTCAGAGCCTTTGAAGCCACTCAGTCTGACAGCATAAACACCTAATTTATTTTCCATCACTTTTGTACACTTTGACTTATTCTGGAGTTGCTAGTTAAGTGTTCGTACTTGGTTTTTCTCTTCACAATAGCACTGGAACAAAGCTTTCATCTATTTTTGGTTTGTAAGATGAACAGAAAACATCTGTCAGGCTCCAGAAATGGGGCTGAGTAGGCCAAGCTGATCTTGCAGTGTTGATGTGACTGAAGACTGGGAGCTGGAAACGCAGAGGCAGTGGCAGTCAGTAATGAGCCACACACATAAACTCTGCTGCTAAAGGGACTCCTAGGTGCTGTCCCGAGTGTCTCTCAAACAGCGCTTGTTTAAAAACACAATATAAAAGCTGCCAAAGCTCCTTCAGCCCAAAACTGCCTGTGAAAAGCTTTAAGAGGTGGATGTTTATACAGGCATGAACTTGAAGAGTTGCAGTGGTAAATGTAGCAAAAATAGGAAATGTCATCTTTTATGAGTAACACTGAGATAGTTGAACGTGGGGTGTGATGGAGTCTGGAAATCTCCTGTGGACTTTGTTTTTTCTCTTTCCTCCTGCAGCGAGCGGTGGTTGGCAGGAGCCGGAGAATCCTCACACGCAGAGGGTGAGTGAGCAGGAAGGCTGCGCTTGAGCTGAGATGGATCAGCAAGAAGGAGCTGTTGGAGGTGTCAGGCCCTCACAATCACTTTTTCTGCATCTATATAATCCTTCAGATACCAGTTCCAGTTCCTAATCTCCACCTTGACTGAATTCAATGGAGGGAAGGCCTCTTAGAGGCTCCCCTGAGGATATCGCAGTGTAAAATCTCCTTTTGAGAAGAAACTCAGTTGAAAACATCCTTTCTAATAGTGCTGTTAAAACAACACCGGTGAATATGCTGAGTATGTATGTGAAAAAAAGCTGTTTTCCAATCAAGAGTGTGTCTAGGATCTGGAAAACAGAGCTGCACCTTTAACACCCCTCCCTCTAGGGCTCCACCCTAAATGTGACCGGCCTCGGGGAGGGGGGAAAAGATGCTGTTTGCTTCACTAATCCAGGTTGGTCGATTTTGGCCACTTGACGTTACTCTGTCTGGTCGTGGCAAATCCGTGAATGAAGCCTCAGTTGCTGAATTGCAAAGTGAGAACTGGGACACTGCCCTCCAACACACATCATTCCCAAGGGAGGATCAGTTGGTCACCCAGAGCATGAGGACAAGACATTAAGACACACAGGGTTTTTTTAAGTGTATCCTTCACAATACAGCAGGTAGTAGGAAGCCAGTGAAACAAGTAGCAGCGACCCCAGCCAGTTCACAAGCAAATGCTGCAGCTGACCTGATACTGCTCCCCTTACACTGGGTGCCTGTTCCTTTCCATCCCTGCAGATTAACAAACTGGTTGAGTACTACCAGCAGTTGGCTCAGAAGGAGAAGATCGAGCGGGATCGAAAGAAGCTGGTGCGACGCAGAAACTACGTGCCCCTGGCCTTTTCGGTGAGCTGGGTGTGCCGTCCCCCCATAGCAGCAAAAGTGATGGGCAGCAGCCTCAGCGTGGAAAATTAGATAGTTGGGAGCACAATAGGCCTGCCCAGCTTGTTTTAACTGAGGACAACTTTAGGGACGAGTAGTTTTACACCCATTGCCCTTCTCTCTCTGATAGTCCTCTCTGGCAGTGCCAGGAGGGTTTACACTTGCCATACCAAGGAAAATGTTCTCCAGCAGTGCAATTCCAGCCATAATGCCAGTGGCAGCTCTTTCTCAGGACAGCTCATTCCACAGCTCAGTGACAGATAGATCAGCATTGTCTGACACGTCCTCTGCATGAAATCTCAACTGATATTAACCTTAAGACCTGATTGTGGCTTGAATGACTTGTTTATTGTAACTGGCAGGTAAACGCTTACTTTCTTTAGCTGGGTGACTGCATTTGCTTGCTACTTCTTGATGAACTGTGCTTGCTCTGTGCCCTTGCTTGTGTCTTATGGCTGCATTTTTTGTCTCCGTTGCTACCTGCTGCTATTTTGGGGGCTCTCCACAGCAACACACTATACACGTAGTGGTAAGTCTTTTCACGGTTTCTGCTGGTGTTAAAGCTCTCATGGTACCAACTGAAGGGGAGTAGCAGATTGTACACCTTGCCTCAGGGCCTCTGGCTTGGGTGTGCCTAGAACAAACACAGGGGAAGGTTAACTCTGTTAACAGGGTAAAATTTGTAACAAAACTATTTTTTTGTTAGTTTAGAAACAGGGCAATGTCTTTGGGTAAGTAATGTTCACTTGAAAAACAGTACTTCACCTAGCTTGGCTGAGTCAAGTTGGCACTAACATGAATAATTTCACCCTTGAAAAATCACCAGAGTAGGCTGATGCTCACATTTCTCATTTCCTGAGAATTCAGGTTTTCAGTCCTGCCCACAAGGAAGATATCTGCCTCCAAGCACCCTGTGTACAGCTCCGCTGTAGAAAGCTGAGAAGTAGCTCAGCTACTCCTTCTGAGGGACGTGTAGGTAATGAGACTTGTGGGAGTTTGAACCTTCCAGCTGCTTCTAGTAGTGCTACAGAGCATTTCAGATGGATGCATAGCCACGTCAACCCAGTTCTTTTGGCAGCTGAACTCTAATTCTACACTACTTGTCATGGAGTTGCTCTGAAGAGAAGATCAGGGAAAATGTGTCAGTAGTGCAGGCTGGTGATGTAAGTTAGGAGCAAAAGCTTTATAAGCAGTAGCCACACACATCCATCTTTCCCTGTCTGCAGTGCAGTGGGAATTGTTTTCTCCTTGATAACAGTTTAAGCAGAAGAAAATATCTTGGGAAATAGTGAACACCTTTTCCTTTTTGCTTTCCTTTGCTTATCCCCCCATGCTTGTCATGCAGCTCAAAGGATGAGTTTGCAGCAGGGATTTTGTCCTGATAGGAAGCAGACCTGAAGCTGACAGTTCCTTCTTTCCTTGCAGGACAAATACGGCCTTGGAACCAGGCTCCAGCGCCAGAGGCCCGGAGCGCCCATCAGTGCCCTCGCTGGACTCTCGTGAGTCTCAGGGTTGGGGTTACCTTTTGGGGGAGGATTGGAGGTGTAGGCAAGAGACCAGCACAGCACCTTTAGAAAGATGGTGGACATATCAGCAGGTAGCAGTGAGAGCAGATTTCTTCTTTCAAGCACTGGAGAGACATCAGGTCCTCGTGCATCTCTGCGCAGCAGTGCCAGATGTTTTGCTTTCTCTCAGTAGGAACAAGTGACTGCTCATATACTTGTGCTGTTATTGTTTTGCAATCTCACTCTTGCTGCCTTCTGTGCTAGAATGCAGTTACTGAGAGCACACATGTCATATTTTATGACCAAGTTGTCCCTTATTTTGCTTCAGCCTGAAAGAAGGAGAAGACCAGAAGGAGATCAAGATCGAGCCAGCTGATGCAGTGGAAGAAGTGGAGCCTCTTCCTGAGGATTACTATACAAGACCAATCAATCTGACAGAAGGTAACACCTTAGTATACTGTCACTTTTTGCCCTTAAATTTTATAACATGGGCAGTGCCTACAAACCAGTCTTTGAAGTCCCTAATGGCCCAAGCTTATGGTAATTTTTGTGCTGGGATTGAAACTGTGGGAAATATGTGACTTTTTAAATGGTAATTTTGAATGCAGCCTCATGTTGTACGTGGAAAGCTCAGAGCCAGATGCTTCAGGCCTCTGAAGGGTTGTTTTATTTTCTTGCTGACCATAATTTCTGTGTGTGTGAAGCATCAACTTTTGGATGGAGAAAAGAGCTGACATCCTTTTTCAAATAATAGCAGGAAATAAGGAAATAACTGAGCTGCTGGGGAGCTGGAACCAAAACTGGACTGTTGAGTAACAATTGCGCATTGCTTTGACATCAGCTTGGAGCAGCTTGTGTACGCTTGCCAGTTGTTTACCTGACTCATGATTTAATCCACAAATACTGTAAATTGATCAGTGAAACTTGGATTTAACAAGATAAACCAGCAGGTACAGGAGCAATGTAGGCTTCCAGCTGAGATGGCTCCAAGTAGGACAGATATTCTGGGTAGTTCTGCAGGCCTACAGTCTGCCAATAGCAATTAATTAATGAAAGGTTTATGGGAAGGAGTAGATTATCTTGGTCTCCTTTTGCCATGAAACTGTCCTTACCATGAGGGTTTAATGCTGTTGAAGAAGACAACTTCCATGGTGAGGGAAAGGCTGCCAGGTGCCTCAATGCCTCTTAGGCACTGGGAACAGTGAGTAGCCTGTTTTTTGGGAGAAACCCATAGGAGATTTGGCTGCTGAGAGCTCCTTGCCTTGGGAACTATGTTGTCACTAATTTTATGTGTGAGTCTGAGTTACACAAACCCCTTGCTAAGCTGTGTATTGTGCTCATGCAGCACCCAGCTGCGAGGGTAACAAAGCTGTGAAACTCATTTGCCCTCACAGGGGAAAGAACTGTGTTCTAGATGAACTGCAAAACTCTGTTTCCATCCCAGCTCAGCTTTGAAGAGAGATCAGAGTCCCTTGTTTCTCCTGGGCTGGCACTGATGTTGCTCTCACGTTACTGTGCCCAGTCAGGGCAACCCTTTATGCAGCTCTTGCCTTTTCTATTCATTGCTATAAACAGTGGCAGTTGAGAGTGGCTCCTGAATTACGTGGTGCAGGTGAAATTAAATTTCTTAGAGGTGGTGGCACATCTGCACACAGCACGAGGTGCACGTGTAGGGTCTAACCTAGCTCCAGTTTCAGCCCCTGAGACGTTTCTTTGTCTTGCTTTCCGTGGTGCTCCCAGTGACGACTCTGCGTCAGCGCCTGCTGCAGCCTGACTTCCAGCCCATCTGCGCTTCCCAGCTCTACCCACGTCACAAGCACCTCCTGATCAAACGCTCGCTGCGCTGCCGGGTACGGAGCTCACGACAAAAACCTGCCTTTTCCAGGCTCTCAGAACTTGGGTGGTGGGAAACGGGCTGTGTATTTCTCTTTTTGAAAAAAAAAAAAAAAAAAAGAAGAAACTGCTCAGATGGTTCTGGTTGTTGAATGTTCTCAGCCAAATGACTGGTAACAGCACTAGGAGGGGAGGGAGGCTGTCACATCTCTGGTGCGGTGATGATTGTGAAAGGGGAGCAAAAAGATACAAAGATGGGTTTGTGCCAGTGCTCTGCCTAGCCAAGGAGCTGGAGAAGGCTGCCAGTTCAGTCAGAAATAAAAAAAATCTGCTTTTACTAAAGAGAAAAGTCAGCAAAGAAAATATTAAGGAGAGGCAGTGCAGAATACAGAAGGTATCCATAGAGTGGAAGCAGAAAGAGGGTATCTCAGAGAATAAAAGCAGAGAGCTGGGAAGTGAAGACAGGCAAGAGTTAAATCCAAGTTCTGCTGTTGACTTCCTGTAGGGTTTTAATACATGATTTGATTTCTCAGTAATTTAGGGATATTTATCTAGTTCCCGAAGTAATAGAGCAATATTCTTTTAAGTATTTAAGATGCAGAATGCTTTGCAAATGCAGAATATTTTCTCAGAAATAAGCAATTGAACCATCCTGTCTTTGAAGAGTAGCCTATGAGGAGATCAGGAGTTCCAGTTATTTGTTTTTTTAATTGGATTCTGGAGCATAGGTCTGAAGGCTTATTTGTGCCTTCTTCCTGCTGCAATCAGTGTCCAGGTGTTTTTAAGACAAATTCCAAGTCTTATGTTTCTGAGATTGCACTGGTAGTGCAGGATATGACATTTTTGGAGTATCAGTAAGTGAGCACAGTGATGGCTCCGTGCACCTGAGGTAGTTTTTACATGTGCTGTGCTGGAGGCAGTAATATTGTGGATGGTGGGCAGTGCTTGTGGCTCTGATTCCTCAGTGTGTGACTGCACACTGTTTTCTGGTGCTCACTAAAATATCTTTCTCTCTAGAAATGTGAACATAACCTGAGCAAACCAGAATTCAATCCAACGTCTATCAAATTCAAGATCCAGCTGGTTGCTGTGTAAGTAAGATATGGGGACTGGGGACAACAGCTGCCTGTTCATGCTTAGTTAATGCCTTCTATTTGGTTTATTTTTTTTTTAGTAGTCTTGCTGTGACCTCTTGTAGGATTGTGTCATCTCTTAGGATGGTGTAATCACCTTTTAAAATATAGTTAGCTTATCTGTGAAAGGTTTTCTTGCTGATCTACTAAAGATTTCAGCAGTTTGACAGAATCACTGCATGCTGTGCCTGCCCCACACAGTAGCAGGGGTCTGTAGGATTAGGCTTGTACAGCAACAGGGCACTTATTTTTTCCTTTTAATGTAAGCCAAGCTCTGATAGCTCTAATACCTCCTTCTGCTTCAGGAGGTGAGTTATAGACAGCAACACAGTCCCTTATGGTCCTTTGCTTTGTTATTTTTGTAGGAACTACATCCCTGAAGTGAGAATCATGTCTATTCCCAACCTGCGCTACATGAAGGTCAGTAGCTTTTCCAGAAATGTCTTAGGGGGAGACACAGCTGGGAGCTGTGAATATGGGATCTTTTTGGAAGGTGACATGGTGTTCCCTAAGGGTTCCACTCAGTTTGGAGGGTGCAGGGTTAGGGGAGTGGTCAGAGGAACACTGCATGTACTTGTCACTCTGCAGCAGTAGATTACTGTGCAGAGTGACATCTGGCCTCACAAGCACTTGCCAATATCTGAAGAATAAAAGGTGTGGAGTTGAGATCTTGGCTAGATTCCAAAAATCCATATTTCTTATATTAAGGAAGAGTGTTGCATGGCATCGGTGCCTTTCTTACAGACTGGGGGTGGTTGCTATCCATCCCTTGAGAGGATATGATGCAGTTTTTGAAGGCGTTGATTGGTCGTGGAAGGTGAAGGTGCTAACAATAACAATGAATTTTAGCTCAATTGCTTCTTGAATTGTGATTCCTGAATCTCCTCAGGAGAGCCAAGTCCTTCTGACTCTGACCAATCCTGTGGAGAACGTCACACATGTCACACTGCTGGAGTGTGAGGAGGGAGATCCTGACAACATCAACAGCACTGCCAAGGTACTGTACCCTCCTGCTGTGTGAGCCCAAGCCTCTTCCAAGGCTTACTACTCCCATTTGTCGTTCCTTCCACAGGCTACACTTTTCATATGTCCTTCAACCCCTGCTGAGGGTGTTGCATTTCTTTCCTTGAAGCTAAAATGACTGTCACCAATGTAAACAGCAGCTCATAAAGTATTTTGAAATTGTGTCTGTTCACTGAGATCCAGAACCCAAGGGAGAAATTAATGATTTCACTGGCAGGGTGGTAATAAAGGAGTCCTGGAGCAGAGGAAAGCTGAGGATGAATCACTTTTCTGTTAAACTGTAGTTAAGGAGCCCTCAGAAGGGGAGGGGCCTCTCCTGCCTGGAGTGTAGCTGGTGATCAGTGCTGAAAGGCTTCTTTCTCTCCCTGCTCTGTTTCAGGTGTCTGTTCCTCCCAAGGAGCTTATTCTGGCTGGCAAAGATGCTGCGGCAGAATATGATGAGCTGGCAGAGCCTCAAGACTTCCAGGATGACCCTGAGTGAGTGTTGTCTGTCCTGTGGGGGATCCTCTCCCTTCTTAAAAACTTGGCACTTGGAGTAACTCGCTCTCCTCTTTGTCTTCAGTGTGTTCTGGTTCCCCCTCAGAGCATTGTTCCTCTGAACAATGGTTTGAGAACTTGGCTGACCCGGTGTTCCTCTGTGTTCTGCCCCGCAGCGTTATTGCCTTCAGAAAAGCCAACAAGGTGGGAGTTTTCATCAAGGTCACCCCACAGAAAGAAGAGGGCGAGGTGACCGTGAGCTTCAAGATGAAGCATGAGTTCAGAAACCTCACAGCTCCCATCCGGCCCAACGAGGAGGGCGACCACCCCTCGGAGGTCATCTGGCTCACCCACCACGTGGAGCTCAGCCTGGGCCCCGTGCTCCCATAGAGGCTCCCAGCGCTTGCTCCCCGACGGCTGGCACGGGACGGACTGGCACACTGAGAAAGCACCTGCTGGAAGGTTCTGCCAGAGCTCCTTTGTGATGTGTGGGTGTGCCATGGGCCCCAGCCGGCCGTGAGGAGGGGGCTGAGGGTGCCGTGGTTTGGGATGGTTTGTTCTCTCTCCCCTTGTCGTAGTGCCCACTAACCACCACTCCACTTCCCCTCACTGCCACAAGCTAGTTTAACTCGCAGCACGTGTCAGAGCACAGAGAAGGGTCTTGCTTTCTCCAGGTTTGCGCTGAGTTTGGCTCTATCAACAGATAATTCTGGCTGAATTTGGATTTATTCTCATAAAAGAACCCATATTGTTTTTTCCTGATGTTCCATGCTCTGTAGTGAACAACTTCTCTTTCACTCAGAACTATGCCCTTCCCAAACCAACATTTTAAGAGGTGGCCGTGCCTGCTGCATTACTGGCAAGTTACTGGCAGCAGCACAGTGTTTTCTTTTGGTTTTCTGCTTCCTCGTAGGATACCTCAACTGTGGGGGACTGGGATGTACAGCCCTACCCCTCTGGCAAATGTAGCTTGCTTAGCTGAGGTGGCAGATCTGTTGTCACAAAGGAGTTGATGAGTTTGCCTTTAAACTTTAAACATAGTGTACTGTAGTGTTCATGGATTTGACTGGCAACCGAGCCTACCGTCGGCCCGCTGGGCCTCGGGTGGATGTGGCAGCAGGATGCACTGCAAGCTGGGAATTCAGGTGCTGCTGCACCTCTTGAGTGAGGCAGGAATGCTCTGGAGAGGCTGCCTGGCAGTCTTCAGCTCCATAAGTGTGTTGTTAGGGATCATAGTCATCAGAGTGTGAAACCTGGAGAGTTAAGATTAGTTCTGGTAGTGGTAAACCCACAAAGGTGGTTTTTGGGTTCATGCTCTGTGTTTTTCTAGTTAGGGTGGGTGCAGCGAAGGTGTAAAGGTGGAACGTCTTTGTTTGTTAACTACACACACTGTACACAAGGTCACTTACCTGGGGTGTAATTTGGCTGCAGCCCAAGCTGAAATGGGTGGTTAAGAGCTGTGTATCCAGGACACTGCATGGCTGATGCAGGCAGGTGAGACGGCTCTTCCTGCAGAGCATTCCCACTTCAGTTATTGACCTTAGTTAAACGTATCTGATGGGCTTTGATGTGCTGCTCTGCTGGGAAAGGCTTGAGGGCCAGCCAGCCATGGCTGCGTCACTCCAGATGCTCATGCCGTGGCTCTGCCAGCCTGGATCTGTGGATCCTCTGTGTGGGAGCGCAGGATGAGGCTGCCTGCACCCCACGGGTGGTGCTGCAGCACCCAAAACGTCTCCCTGAGCGCAAGAAACCTGCCGTGGTGTGCGGGAGGGGCTCCCACCTCACAGCCCCGATCCCGGGCAGGTCTCAAAGCGGCAAGGCATCACGTTTACGACTTCGTGTAGGTTACACGCAGATGTACAGCATGAGTTTGAGACTTGTAGTTAGTAGTTTATGTATAGTGCTAGTGCCTGCTGCGGCTTCACCTGCCCAGATAACAAAGCACCGCACCTCTGGCCGCACCTTCTCCTGTTCAGTAGCCAAAACAGCTGCTACACTTGCGACACGACTGCAGACAAGCCGAGATGGCGGCTGGCCCGGGGCTTGAGCTGTGCCCGGGGCTGGTGGCCACTGTCCCCCTGGTGCTGGCCTGGGGTTTGCTGCAGGCCAGTGCCACCTGCGCCCCTCTCCCTACAAACACAAGGTGCACTGAGTCGCGCTGTTCCGAGCGGCCTGATGAGCTCGGCCAGTTTTTTCCCCCCCCTCCCTGTAGGTGCTGTAGGAAAGGTGTCTCGGTGCGTCCCTGTCCCCGCTCCCCGGCAAGGCGCCTGTTGCCTTATGCTTGACGTCGTGTAGTGACCTTCAATAAAACACAACGTGGCTCTCGGATCCTTTGCCCCTGGTTCTTTATAATTTAATTATTTAAACAAAACAAAAAAAGCGAACACACACGCACCCCACCCCCGCCGTGTTTTCCCGATGGTCCCGCCCGTTCCCCCCTCCGGGTGCCGGTGGTCTCGCCCGGTAGTGGCGTCACTTCCGGCGGGGCCCGGCCGGCGGGGCGGGCGCCATGTCCACCTCGCTGGGCTCCAACACCTACAATCGGCAGAACTGGGAGGACGCGGTGAGGGGGGACAGCTGGGACAGCCGGGGCGGGCGGAGCGCGACCGGGGGGACCCTGCGCTGCTGTGAGGCCTCCAGGCGAGGGGAGCTCGGGGAGGAGGCGGTGGGGCCGGCCCTGGGCAGCCGGGCCCTCCGAGCGGCAGCGGGACCGGGACCGGGCTGCTCCCCGGGGTCGGTGTGAGGCGGAGCCGTCCCGGCGGCTGCGGGGGCTGAGCCGGGCCCCTCGTATGCTCTCTGGAGCCGAAGCCTCTCCTCTCGGTCCCTGCTGGGGGATAACGGGGCGGTGTCGCCTCTTCGAGTCCTGGGAGGGGTCAGATCTCAACAATACGCTTTTTTTGTTTGCTTGCTCTGAGTTTTACATCAAGCTGCAATAGCCAGCAGATCGCGGTTCTTTAACAGTTTCAGCCTGGCCCATGGCTTGCAGCTCTCTGAATCTTTTTGCGTCTTTCAGTCAGTCTGATGAGTTTAACTCTGTAGCGTTTTTCAGAGTGTGACTTGAATGCTTTTGTGATGGCAGAGTTTGTTACGAATTCCCGATTTTGTTCTTGCTTCTCTCAGGACTTCCCTATCCTGTGCCAGACATGTCTTGGAGAAAACCCCTACATTCGGATGGTACGTGCCTGTTGGACTCTGCAGTCCTTCCCCCTGTGCTGGACCCTAAAACTCTGGGGTTTGGGGACTGAAATGGGGCTGGGTGCTGAGGTGGACACACACACACCTGAGCAGCTGGTTCTGCACAACAGGGCTTGGTTCCAGCCACTGTTGGTATGTGGTGTCATGGTTAGGGCTGTGATTTAAGAGCAGATGAATTAAAAAGGAGATTAAGATGACATAATCCAGTGTCTGGAGTGCAGGAAACAGTAGGACACGGAGCTTTAATGCTGTGAGCTGCTGAAACACCAAGTAACACCCTTCCTAAAATATGACGAACGTGCACTACTAAAATTAAGTTAAAGCTGACCTGGGAAGGTAATTTAAATCCCTGTTTGTTTTCCTGGGTTTCCTCTGTGCAGGGTGAGTCAGTCCATGTTATGTTGCTTTTCTCTGCTCAGCCCAGTTGTGTGACCTGCACTGACACAATCTCCTTCACATTTCTGTGCCACCAACTTTGCTGAGAGAGATTGGGATATTTTTGTGCAACACAGCCTTGATGCTGGTATAGGTGATATTTCAAAACCAACTTGTTTTCACAGATGTATTTCATATAACATCATCTTTCCTGAAAAATAGCTCTTATCACTCCTTTTCATTCCTGTCTTCCATCAGTGCAGGGGTGGGACTTACAATACTCTGTTTTTAATGAATATTTCTAAACCAGAAGTGGATTGAGAGTATTTTAGGATTAACTTTTTTCTCCTGTTGACCTTCCAAATTGTAAGCCCAAAACATGGGGGTGGGTGAGTCTAAATGCAGCATAATTATGAAAAAGCCCACTGTGTTATAACATCAGTGTTTTCTGTTGAATTGATATTTCATATTTTCCTTTATTGCTTTTTATTACATTTCAGACCAAAGAAAAATATGGAAAAGAATGCAAGGTATGTTTGTGTCTTTTGAAGAAAGAATGTCTAAAATGATGCAGATCTAGGAATAATACATTTTAATGATTAAAAAGCTGTCAGCTTTAGAAAAGTGCTTATCTGGGTTAGCAACTTAAAATGTTTATGTAACTACATAAATTTTTAGGTCAGTCTACTGTGCTTTGTGAAACAAAGTCAGTTGGTCTTAAAACTGTAAAATTACTGAGCAAATCCTAAGTCTGTCTAAACCTTCATGTTTATCAGAATGAGGGTTTGTGAATACTGTTGTACTATATTTGTGGGTATTTCAGCATTTTAAATGATCTCATATTTTCTTGTGCAGGTTTTTTGGTTTTAACTCGGAAGTTCATAAATACCTGGAGTTGAGGGTTAGCTCTGCACATGTTACTCATGGCTCTGTGGTGATTTGTGTTAATTATTTAAAAAATAAGCCGCATTTATTTCTGAGAGAGCAAGAAATAATCAGTGTTAACTGGACTGAGGGAAATCAAAGGAATTTTTTGCCCTTTTTCAGTTCTCTTCTGAAGTAGAGAGAAGGCATATGCTGAAATCTGTACAGATTGAGATTGTATCCACATACTTGGGGTGTACATGCAGCAGAAGCAGATGCATCATTCCATGAGATAAGAGAGACCAGCAGTCTTTTTCTGGACCAAAGGTCTCATAACCTCTCCCCAGGTTGCTGCTGTACTGGTGCCTCGTGTAATTCATCTCTGGTAGCTCTACACTGACATCTCCTGGAATGAAGGAGAATTTCTGTGTCCTTTGAGTAGATCTGTGCTCAGGCTATTGTAATAAATAAAAACTAAAATTAAAGAAAAAAAAAGAAAAAAAAGAAAAAAACCCTCCCTGAAACTTTCTCCTGTCTAAACAAACCACCAAGTAGAACACTGAGAACCACATAGAAAACTGAGCTCTGTGTCTTAGCACTAAGATGGAGAAGATGTACTTACGGTTTAAAGAGATTAGACGAGTTTGGAGTTTTAAGTTTCCCTGCCAGAAGCAGAGCAGTCACTGTGGAGAGCGAAACAAGGGTCACCTTTCTGTGTCCCAGATTTGTGCCAGGCCTTTCACCGTGTTCCGCTGGTGCCCCGGGGTGCGGATGCGCTTCAAGAAGACCGAAGTGTGCCAGACGTGCAGCAAGCTGAAGAACGTCTGCCAGACCTGCCTGCTTGACCTGGAATACGGTGTGTACCCAAAAACGTAAACCAAGAGAGGGAGCTGGCCTCTGAAATGTAAAATGGGTGAAATGTGTTAAATTTGTGTGTGCGTTTGGCATTGGGCGGTCTTGGAGAGGAACGAGTCTTGGTGATCACATCTGCAGCAGATGAGTTACTTCTGGCTGCTGCAGGTTGCAGAAATAACTATTTTCTGCTCTTTCAACTTGTGCTTCATATGGATTTGTTGGGGGGTTTTTTTGTTGCATTCTAGGTTTGCCTATCCAAGTCCGAGATGCAGGACTCTCCCTTAAGGATGAAATGCCCAAATCCGACGTCAACAAAGAGTACTACACCCAGAACATGGAGCGAGAGGTAAGATAGTTACAGTCATGCTCTTGGTGTGACTGTGTATGGGGAGGAAAGGGGAGCAATGACCCAGCTTCTCTTAAAACCTTTTGCTAGCTCTGATTCTGTGCATTAGTGTTCAGTGCTGGTAGGTACATAATTGTTTGTGTTTTACCTGCTGCTTAGATAGCCAATTCTGATGGCACTAGACCTGTTGGTGCACTAGGAAAAGCTACTTCTACCAGCGACATGCTGCTGAAGCTGGCCCGAACCACTCCGTACTACAAACGCAACCGTCCTCACATCTGCTCCTTCTGGGTGAAAGGAGAGTGCAAGAGAGGGGAGGAGTGTCCCTACAGGTACAGATACATGTTAAACAGTTAGTCTGTTCGCCACAGCTCCCTTGGGGTTCAAAGAACAGGAGATCCTGCAGTGGGCAGGTTCTGCGTGGGCTCAGGGTGAAACTTGCATCCAGTGCCAGCAAATGAAGCTCTGTGGTGGCATGTTCGTTAGTGAGCCATAGGCTGCAGGGTTTGCCAAAGCAGTGGCTGCAGCTCTCCTCTTGTACAGTTCATTTTTCCCCTTCGTGGCATCAGTCCCCTCAACCAGAGATCTTTGTGTTTGAACAAGAGGCCATTTGAAATCCAGCGCTTGTGTTTTGTGGGGCTCGAATGTTGAGCTGTCAGAAGTGCCATTCATTCAGAACTTGAGGCAATCCTGGCTGCAGTTCAAGTTCTCAGAGCTTTTTGTTCCATTCTAGCCTGTTTATGTGGACAGGGCTAAGGATATAAGTGACCCAAGGGCTGGAGAAGGGAAGGTGGCAGCTACAGCCATTTTAATCCATGCAGCTGTCACTGGTGTTACAAAATGCTTTGCTTGCTGAACCTTAGACACGAGAAACCTACAGATCCAGACGATCCTCTGGCTGACCAGAACATCAAAGATCGTTACTATGGAATTAATGATCCCGTGGCTGATAAACTGCTGAAACGAGCATCAACCATGCCTCGTCTAGACCCCCCCGAAGACAAGACCATTACTACACTGTATGTTGGAGGGCTTGGAGATACCATTTCTGAATCGGATCTCAGGTGTGTTGGTGAATTTATATTGCCCTTGCCCCTTTGTTTGACGCTTTGGTATGTGCTCATCTTCCAGTGAGGAAATCTCTCTTGCAAGGAACAAAAATAAACCAGGGTTTCAGTTTTCCTTAATGGGGAACTGGTTGGTGGGCAAGTGCAGAGGAGTGCCAGCTTGTTGGAGAACAGATAAACAGGCACATTTCAGATGCTTTGATTTACAATTTATTTCCTTAAAAATGAATCATCCTGAGCTGTTGGGCATACTGTGTAACCCTTTTTACAGGTAAGTCCTGTAGCCTCTAGCTAGCTGCTAAGAGAAGCTGCTGCAGGGCTTTTATTGCTCCATAGTTGCACAGAGAGGCAATAATGATTAATTGATCGATATATTAATAATCTATTGTTGATTTATAATGATCAGTTTGAACTGGGAATGGAGAAGAGAAAGCACGCCTATTCCACCTGCTCTGCTCTGTACCCTATGACTATGAGGAGGGGAGTATCATCATGATTTTTTTTTTTTTTTCTCCTCCCCAGAAATCACTTCTACCAATTTGGGGAGATCCGGACGATAACGGTGGTGCAGAGGCAGCAGTGTGCTTTTATCCAGTTTGCCACCCGCCAGGCTGCAGAGGTGGCTGCTGAGAAATCCTTCAACAAGCTCATTGTCAACGGCCGCAGGCTCAACGTCAAGTGGGGAAGGTGAGTGTGGGGGGAGGAAGCCTGGAGGATTCTGGCTCTCAGAAGGTTTTGCTCCTAGTCTGTCTCCTGTTTGCACACTTTGTACCACCTGTCTCTGGTGTTGCAAGTTTTTCATCTTTGGCCTGAAACAATGGGTCTGCATTAGATAAGGTGAAACTACTGTGTTACAAACATTTCCTTATCCTGCTTTTTCTCATCCTTGTTCTCAAACTTTTGTCTGTTTTTCAGGTCCCAGGCAGCAAGAGGAAAAGAAAAGGACAAGGAAGGTACTACAGAATCCGGGATAAAGTTGGAGCCAGTTCCAGGACTTCCTGGTGGTAAGGGAGTTGTTTTAATTTCTGAAACACTTAATACTGACCTGCTTCCTTGAGTGGGGCTGGTGTTAAATTTTTAAGAGCAGTGACAGTTCAGGATGGTAGAGGCAGTGGTGAGCCCAGAGCAGTTACGGTAGCTTTGCAGCAGATCCAGCTGGGATAGGAGATGAGCTTTGTTTAGAAGCAAATCCTGGATGAAAAGAGAGTTCTTTATGTGATGAGTGAAAAGTTGAAGCTGCATTCAAGGTACTTAGGTCTGAGATGCTGGCAGCCCATGCTTTAATGTTTTCCTAATCCACTGAGCATTGTATGATGGAAAAAGCAAAGCTGGTTTTGAGTGAAGAAAATTGGTGACTGGAATTTCAGGGCAGTCCTGCTCTCATGGTTCAGAGGTGCAATGGTAGCAGCAGTTTGCCCTTGTGAAAGTGTGGATTGTGCCCCCACTCTGAAGGAGACACCTCTGCTTGTCTTGCATGAGATTTTCCATAATCACTCTGTACTTTTTCTGCAGCTCTTCCCCCTCCTCCAGCTGCAGAAGAGGAGGCTTCTGCAAATTACTTCAACCTACCTCCAAGTGGCCCCTCAGCCGTGGTGAACATTGCCCTGCCACCTCCTCCTGGCATCGCTCCACCGCCGCCTCCAGGTACTTGTGCTTCCCCCTCTAGTGGGGGTGTGGAACTTGGTGTTAGATGGTCTGTTCCTCCTTGCCTGGCCATGCTGCAACTGATGCATGCCCTGAGCTGATTTTCCTCATCCCTGATCACACAGTGTCAACTGATGATCTAAACTGAGCTGTCAGCACAGTTTAATTAAACTGAGCTGCCTGTTGTGGTGGGTATTCACTTGCAAATTCCCAGGCATGTCAGAGATCTCAGAGATCCCTGTTACTGGTACCGAGACCTACTCAGTGCTTTTGCTGGCTGTGTAAATGCCACATTAACCCCAACTTCAAAGGGTAATTTTGCAGCTGGTTGAATGCCAGCCTGTTTTTGGCTCTCTGTATATATCTATCCAGAGATGCTTTTTTTTTTTTTTTTAATGGAATGTCAGACTCTTGGGGGGATATTTTCTCTGCTGCATGGTTGAACAGAAAACATTTAGATGGGCGTCACAGACATCTGCCCGGTTGCCCCACCAGCTTTTATCTGTGAATAAGGATGTGTGTTGGGTAGGGATTGCCCCCAGAAAAGAGGGAAGGAGTTTCTGGGGAGATGGGAGATGAGCACATTTGCGAGGCACAGCTGTGAGCCAGCTGTTGTGTCGGCGCTTTGAAGCAGCGGAACATACGCATCGGGTTTTCTGCTGCCTTGCCTGAAGCTGCCAACTTTTTTCCTGCAGGTTTTGGACCACACATGTTCCACGCCATGGGGCCCCCTCCTCCCTTCATGAGAGCCCCAGGCCCCATCCACTACCCCTCCCAGGACCCCCAGAGGATGGGTGCCCACGCGGGAAAGCACAGCAGCCCCTAGCACGTCCTGCCACCCTCATCCTTGAAGTAAATGTTATTTTCTAGTTACCATGGTAGCACCATATGTTGAGCTGTGGGTGAGCTAGAGACGCCTTATTCCCCTGCTTGCAGCCACGGGGCAAGCTGAGCTCCTGTGTCTCCGCTAGCTAATCGGATTGTTGGTATGTCCCAGGTCTTTCTTTTAAGTGTTGGGGGTGGGTGGGGGACAGACGGGGCGGGGGGCTGTCTGTGGGTCAGGGGTACCAGAATTACAGTGCTATCTGTGTATCCCATTGGCACACTTTTGAAATAAACTTCTGGAAAAACAGAACCAAACCCTTTGCAAGCCCATTTGATGTCCTTAGTGTGAACATTATGGGCTGTAACCAGAGACCCTTATCTGTCAGGTAACTAATGATGTGCTAATCTAATGAGGTGTTAAACTAGGGCTGAATAGGAGCTGAAAAACAAGCTCATCAGATGTTGTTGCCATGGGCAAACCCATGGCTTTGCCTTACACGGAGTTTTCCTCCCTCCTTCTTCCTGACTTCTGGCTTTAAAAAAAAAGACAAGAAAACAAAACCTTTTTTTGAAGCATCACTTCTGATCCTGCACATCCTTAGTGAGACAAGTGCTGGGTCAGGCGAGCAGCCCCTGGGCAGTGCAGGCATGACATGGAGTGACAGGTCGGCAGCCCCCTCCGTGGCCCCACAGGCTGGGCTGTGTTGCTGACAGCTGCAGGGGAGGGCACTGTGCAGCTGCAGCTGCTCTGGGGGAGATTTGGGGCTTTCAAGGCCCTTAGTGCAGTGTCTTAAGCTGCAAGAAGGGTCCCACTTCATCCTGCTTTGATAAGATGTGAAGCTTTTCCTTCTGTGCTCAAACTGTAGCACTTGGCCAGGAGTGACTGCATCCTGCGTGGAGCCTGCTGCTGAGTAAGGTCTGTGTACATGTGGCTGGAGAATTTTGGATTTATCTGTGTGTCAGCTGCTTTTGTGCAGTAGATCTGCAGACATCTTTCTGTAAAGCAAAATGTGATGGGCCTTGTTCTGAAGCTTCATTTGCTTGTTTCAAAAAAAGTACATAAAAATACTTGAATTTTCACCACTGTGCTTAGACCCTGCTTCCTGCAGCACAGTGTCTGGGCACTTTGTCTGATTTTTATGTGGCTGCTCCCACAGCCAAGATGCAGCGTGGACAAGGACAGCACGTCTGCTTTTGGTTTCATGTGCTGTCTTTTATGGTGCCACTGGGTCCCATGGTGGTGCCAGCCCTGCCAGGCTGTTGGAGAGGGTGTAGCACTTGTGCACCATGGGCTGGCTTTCTCTGGAGAAAGCTGGGCTTTGGGCATGGGTAATTAGTTCCAGGGCAGTGTTGGACAGCAGAGGCTGCTGGTGGATGGGAGAGGGCTGTGGCTTTTGCCACTGCTCAGGCCCCAAGTCTCCATAGCCAGGGCCTGTGAGTGCTGTGCAGGCACATCTCAAATGCAAGAGGCTTTACATCATCGCTATTTATTTATTTATTATTTCCAGCCAGTTCCCTGGGGTTACATGGCTTCTGCAGCTGATGGACAAAGAGGAGAGAGATGGAATTGGAGCAGGGCAGCACGTTGAGCATCTCAGATATCCAGATCAGTAGGCTGTTGTTAGCTGCAGGTCCCACTGTGTGTCCCTGCTGAAAATGGTGGTGTAGTTGGATCCTCACTGCTGATTTTCACATTCCCAGAGAAGCCTGTGTTCTCTCTAGAGTCATGACCATGCTGCTTTTCCTTCCCTCTGGAACACTCTGGCAGGATCCTCGGGCTGGTGTGGGTCCAGGCAGTGGGTCCAGGCAGGACCTGTTTGTTGTTGACCAACCCCACGAAGCAAATCTGGCGTAAGTCACTTAGAGGGCTTAGATGTTCAAGCAAGGCATGCAAATAGCAGTAGAAAGGGGAAAATACCAGCTGCCAAGTGCTAGCCAGTGGAAAATACAGCACAGTTTTCCAACTCCCACTGTTCCTCTCCCATCTATCCTGGTGGTGCTGTGTTGGTAAACAGGCAGATTCCCAGTTCCTCATTTGTTTTGTTGTCCAGCCAAGCCCAAAGTATCTGCTTTTAACGTGCCAATGGCTCCGGTAACTTGTTTTGCTGCTGCTCTCCCATTATCGCCTCTTCTCGCCTTCCTGACTGGAATGACAGATGTAGAGTTGTCCTGAAGATGGAATTTCTCTGCAAAAGCACTGGCTGTCAAAAGAGGTCTCATGTGTCGGTGAAGACGCAGCAAGGGAGTTTGGTGTGTTGCAGCTGGTGGTGCTGCTCTTTTCCACAAGGCAGGGCAGAGGACAGGCTGTACGGGGTGTTTTGTATGGGAGCTTGCGGGGATCTGCTTGATTAACAGCGGGAACTTGGCTGGCTTGGCACTCACTGCCAAGTGACAGGGGCTGCTGCAAGGGGAATTCAGAATGGTCCCAGACTCGAGCTCGGTCAAACCCCGTCTGAAGATGACAACCTGAGACCACTGGCTAAGCTTCCACGAGGGATTCCTGCCCCCCTCTCCCCCACCCTGCGAAGTGTGTCCGAGTCCAGCGAGGAAACCATCGGTGGTGGTGGGGAGGGAACAGCTACAGCTCTTCGCTCTCCGGCAGGATCCGCACCCAGCCTTGCGCCACGCGGTTGAAGTTGGGCCGGTGGGAAATCACCTCCAGCGCGCTCAGATTGTCCAGCTCTGTGGTGGGCAGAGAGAACAGCTCCCCAACCACCGCCCTGTCAAACGGGGCTGGGGTCCTGCGGCACAAGGAGAAGCAGACTTAGTCACAAGGCCATGCTGTGAAGGTGATAAAAAAAGTATGTCTGGATTTACTAACTCTGAGCCCAGCACAACCTAGCAGTTTCTGTGGCAAATGACAACTCCCTCCCCAGGACGTTATTAGAGCCCCTGCCAGCCCAGCAAGGCGCTTCTTTGCTGCAGAGCCCATCTCGGCTCAAGCTTTGGCAAGACTAGAGAGCGAGGCTCGGTGCCTGAGTGGAAGTGTTCTGGACATGGAAGGGCTTAGGTTCAGAGAGCAGTGACAAACCCCCTGGTCTTTAGAAAGCCTCTCAGTGTGTTCTGCAGAGGGCCGAGGCCGACGGCTGCTCCAATCCCTCCAGCACATGTGCAGGCAAATGTGTCCCTCTTGGCCCTGGCTCCATCCCGCCTTTTGGGACGGCTCCTCATGAACTATGACTGACAGGAGGAGCAGTGCGGGGGCAAGAGCTGTCATCCTTTTCTGGAGAAATGTGGAAAAGGGACTGGAGAAGAATGTGCCAGCCCCCAAAAAGCCAAGAATGTTGGTTTTGGAGCAGCACACGGAGGCTGAGCTATCAATGAGGCAAAGCTGGGAATGTTTGCTTTGGGAAGCACCGCTAGAACATGAGTAACGTGGCACTGTTTTGCAACAGAGGAGAAATAAGAGGGGGAAAGGTAAATGAGAGAACTTTGTTCTAGGAACTTTCTATCTTTTGGGAAAAGAGAGTCTTTGTCAAAGCTTGGTTTTCACTCTCTCTTAAGGCAGCAAGGTGGACCCAGGTCTTTGCATCACAGCCTGAATGTTTAAAATTGGGGATAAATCAGTCTTTAACTCAGTTGCTGTTGAAATGGTGGACTTGCCCTTGCTCTGTGACCCATGTGAGATGGGATTCAACCAGCCTTAGGCAAGACCACTGGCTTTTCAATAGCTGATCTCTTCCAAAGGGCTTGTTTTTCTGTGGTTTGGTATTTGAACTGAGAAGTGATTTAAAAGCCAACAGCTTGGAAGATCATAAAAAGCCCAGTTAAAAGCAGATTGGCTCTCTGAATCTTCCTGCCTCAGTGAAGAATTAGAGGAGGTGGCAAGAGGCTTGGAGTTAGATTAGCATCCATCTGTATTAAATTACAGTTGAAGACTTTAAATAGAAAGGCAGCGTGTGAGAGAGGAGAAATGGTGCAGGGTAAAGCACTATTCAGAAACATGCCCCTGCTTCAGTCCCTGTCCATAAATAAATCCCAAGGCAGGAACATGGCTAAATGTTGAAATAAAAGAGCCAAGTGACTGCAGCAGCTCCTCGTTCTCCCCCTGCAGCACCTCCTTGGCTGTAACTCCACCAGAAGAGCCACATGGCAAAGCACCAGGGCTAAGGGGGAGGAGAGCAGCAAAGGGATGGTGGTGGCCAGGCTGGTCTCTGGCTTTTGGGATGCCATTCCCATGTGGAGGGGTTGTGGTTCCCCACAGCCCCTTCCGCCAGGTGCTCAAAGCGCAGCACTCGTGTGTCCCACGACCCAAATCCAGCCCTAGTGTGGACACAGCAGAGCTGCCCCTGGCACAGGCCCAGCACTGGGCCCATGATCTGACAGGGAGCAGTGCTGTGTCCTACTGGAGAGCTCCAGTGGGAACTCAGCTGCTGTAAGGCAACTTTGGCCAGGCCACCAAGGCCCGTGGAATTCCATCCTCATGACAGAGGCTTTCAGCAAGGAGGACAGCCAGGACCTTGGTTTGCAGATTCCCTGGGATGACGTTCAGCTTAAAAGTTCAGTTCTCATTATCCTACCATGGGCTGCTGGTGCTTTGCTACCACCAGATCTCCATCTTCTGGATCCCCACTAAGCACCTTTCCAGAAAGGAAACCTTCCTTGGCAGTTTCTGCTCCAGCCTTGACCCAATGTAATTTGGAGGTGTGAGGAGGCACCAGCCGTGCTCCATCAGAAGCAGCCACAGGGCACCGAGCTTGCCAGGCTGAGCCACAGAAATCCCCTGGCCTGGAGGCTTCAATCCCAAGCAGGTGTTTGGAAGGAATCTGGTGACCTCTTTTAGCACTTTGTGGGACGATTAACCTTATACCCCCACCACTTCCAGCAGCTGCTTGGATACCTTAAGGAAATTAGGAGAGAGACTTGGCACTGTCTGTGTCATTCCTCCACTGAGCCCAGCTGGGAGCAGGAGTGATTCCTTCTCCAGGACCACATGCATGAAAATTAGTCCTCACAAATTTCATCCCTGAGGTTAGCCAGTGAGATCAAACTGCTTAAGGCTGTGCAAACAGCCTTAAGAGATCTGGGGAGCTGCTGGAGGCAGGGACCTTTGCAGGGAGCCACAGAGGAGCTCCTGAGCAGGAAAAGAGCATCCTGAGCCCTTGCTGTGCCCCTGTGGTGTATAGAGGGAGCACAGACCACTGTGTTTCCCTCACAGAATGCTGGATGCTTCTCGAGGCTGGAGGGCTTGGCCAAGGGCTGGCCGGGTTGGCGGTGCCTGCCCCGCTACCTGTTGAAGCTCCTGAAGTCCCACGCAGGGGGTCTCATGGGTGGCTGGTTCTTGCCATGCACGGCATCATCCCTGTCACCAAAGAGCTCCTGCCACGGGCACCGGTAGCCCTTGGGGATGGCGGTGACGTTGAACTTCTCCGGGGGGATTTCTTTGAGGGGGCTCGAGTACCCTGTGCAGGGGGAGAGACAGCGTGGGCTGCTGGGGCTGGGAACAGCCTGGCATTTGCATGGCCGTGGAGGACCTGCTGCTGGGGCCAGGATTGCTTATCTCTAACATAAATTTGTATTTATATATTTGTATATGT